TGAACTCACAACCCTGAGATCAAGGCCGGAGTTGAGATCAAGAGTCAGATGCATAACCGACTGAGCCACCCAGGCTCCCTGACAATTATTATTATTAATGTAAATACCTGTCAGGGAATATTTATATTATCTCCCAGAGCCTAGATTGGTATTGAAAATATCTAATTGCTGAAAATTATCAAGGATGTTCGTGGGGAAAATGGGGACTCGTGAAGTGTTAGAAAGTGAAACCACGAAAGTGCAAAATAGTTAATACAAGTGTGGCTGAGACCACAATCCTCAGAAGGACTTGCTTGTAAGACTGGCCCGTCACTGGGGTCTGGGACCTAGATTTTGGGAGGGTTCCATCCATTCTCTGATAAGAGGCTCCCTGTACCTACGCTGTGCTACCATATTCATGCTGAGCACCTGCTTTCCTTCTGGGAATCTGGAATTTGGGGACGTGCTACACGGAGGTGCCTATAGGACTACACGGAGGTGCCCTGGGGGCTGAGTCTCTACGGGACCTACCTGCTCCACAATCTTTCGCACGTGTTGTCACAACTCATTGCTGGGCAGGCAGCGTGTCCTAGGTCACTCCACCGGAGAGGGTTTAGAAATTTTTGCCTGGTTTCCCCTGGTCTTTGTCTCGTACGCCTTTCTCTTTCCTGATTTTGCTTCATTTCTTCTGGCCAAAATAAATCGGAGCCATGAGCAGTGCTATCTAAATGCACTGAGGCCCGAGGGTCCTCCCAGTAAATCATTAACCTGGGGGTAGTCTCAGAGACACCCCCCCCACCACCACAACTTCTGGTTCTGGCCGGACCAGCAAAGGTGACACACTCCTGCCTCCCTGGGGAGTAACGCTGCCCTGTATATTGCGTGTCATTAGGTGTCCCCGTCCTCTGACTCGGTCATCCCATTTTGGGAAAACGTCCTGTTGAAACCGTTCCACAGAAAAAGGCACAAAGATATTCACCGGAGCTCACGCTAAATCAGGAAACAAAGTAAATCCCCGAGAATGGGGAAAAAGGCTCACCTCAATTCTAAGAAATGGATTAAAGTGAGACGTATAAAGATTACGAAGAAAAACATGAAAGGGTGTTTTCTGATGTTAACTTGTTTGAAGCTGAATACAAAACGGTGGGTAGACGGAAGGCAAAGAAATAACAAACAGTGAGATCAAAAGGGACTCTTCAAAAGGCAAAATGGCTGGGATGCCCCAGGGGTGTGGACTTATCCGCAAATAAATCGCCTTGAACGTGGCCGGCCTGATAAACTCAGAACGTTCCGGGCCTTGGTGTGAAAGGCGGCCCCAAGTCCTCTGGCTTGCAACACCTTTGATAAAGCCTTCAGGGTGTGTGCATGGGGCAAACGGAGGCTGGTGTTCAGCCAAAACCTTGATCCGGGACGCGGAGTTCTAGGGCACAAGCGGGAGGTCTATAAACTACGCGGGCAAATCCCGGGACCCCCGTTTTGCCCGCTCCCAGCTCTGCAACCCCACCTGCTCCACCGCCTCGCCCAGGCTCCTTGGAGGGGGCACCAGAGCTAGCGCCTCGCCCCCCGCCACCCAACTGGGGAAGGGGCGGGGTCTTCGGGAAGTGGGCGGGGCTCCTCGAGCCAGCCCCACCCCCACGCCTGCCCCTGGGGCGGAGCCTCGCTCAGTTTAGCCTATTCTCCCAGGTTGCCCGCACGTGGCCCTGCGGGGCCCCACCTGTCACTGCACATCAGAGCCTCGGCGGTTCTATCAGAATCTACGTTAAGGTCCTTCTGAGGGTTGCAAGAAACCCACTAAAATACAGCTCCAGCAACCCCCAAATCCAGAGATTTTTGTCCCCTCCTGGAGAGTTGTATATAAAGTCACATCGTAAGATGTGGGGGTGTGAAGGGGCAATGACTTGCTCAAGGACACCCAGCAAGTCACTGGAAGAGCTGGGAGCGGCACTGATGGGGGGGGGCGTCCCACCCAGGATGGGCTTAGTGCCACCTTCCTAGAGTGGATCTGAACACTTTTTCCAGGTCAGTGACTGAAGAAAGGGAATGTGTTCAAGCTGGACTGGCAGGTGAACTCTCCCAACCCCCCACATTTTCTCTTGAAAGTTTTCAAACATACAGAAGTGTTGCAGGATTCTAGCCCAGAGAGTCGTGACACCGAGGCTTTTCTTTCTAGGAAGCAACTTTATTTGTGCCGGCACCGCTTAGTTGGGTTCGTACCCAAAGAACTGAGCGGCCCACATCACATGGCGTAGATTTTTTATACATTTTCTATTTCTTTGTCTCCCATATATGGTAACACACATAAACATGCAGTCTGATTAAGTTGTCTCAGTTTACAAGGCCATGGGGAATGTAAGCACCTGGGTGCATATCTAGGTGACCTTGAAGTCTTCTCTCCTCTCTTCATTTTTTTTTCTCCTTAGGGAGGGGTTCCTACCACAGAAGCGCTGCAAGAACAATACAGTGAACACCTATATACCCATCACCTAGATTCTACAATTAACATTTTGTTGTATTCGCTTTGTCCATTTCCATCCATCCTCCACTATCTGTCGGTCTGAAATGGCTTCTAAGTTAAATGAAAAGCCAACCCCCACAGAAACGTTCGGCCTCTACACACACCAAGCCTTTGGTCATCCTAGAAGCAGGTGCTGGCTTCTTTGGTGACACTCCTTGTCTCTGGAGCACGTGGCCAGGGACGTGGGCCACAGTATCTGAGCACACCACGTGGCTATTCCAGGCCGTTCCAAGCTGCTCTACGTCACAGCCTGTGGTTGGCCTTACCAGACGTCTCCCAGGCAGCAGGCACCGCCCTCTCCAAACACACCTATGGAACCTTCCAGAGCTTTGAGGCCGGACCTGCCATCCCCCCGCAAAGCGGAGACCCGTCCCGGCCGTGTTGAGGGCGCAGACACCAAAGAGAGAATAGCCACCAGGAGACCCTGTCTCTGGGCCCCCGGGGCTCCACTCAGTTCACCGTCATCAGGGGACATCAAGGTCACGATGCCGCCTGCCTGTCCCAGCTCTGGAGAAAGAGCAGAGGAGAAACAGACTCCACCCACCCCACAGCCTCTGCTTTTGGACTAGATTTGTTCCAGAAAGTCACATCACTCAGTTGCCTCCTCAGGCAAGAGCTGGCGGCTGTCACGCCCTCCCTGCTCCAGCCCTCCGCCCACGGGCAGTGTGGGCTTCACCGCCTGTCACCTCGGTAGTGGCAGTGGTCACTCCCCAGCTTCTCCTCCTTTCCTGAGGCTTCCTTGCCCTGCAAGCCCCGGGCTTCAAGCCAGCAGGCCCCCCGCCTCGTGCACTAACTCCAGACACACCTGCGGCCGGGGCCCCACCCACCTGCCTCGGACCTCCCCCCGCCCCATGCCCAGGCTCCCTCTGGGATCCCCGCATTTATACGCCCCCCAGCTTTTCCACCCGGCAAGCCATCTTCACCTCTTCACTCCTTGGAGCCTCTCCCGTGAAAGCAGAATCCAGTGCGAGCTCAGGTGCCTTGGCTGAACTTGTCCGCACCCCCCACCCGGGGCGCCCCGTGCACACCTCCGTGGGGTGTGGCTTGGTCTTCGCTTAGCCTTCGGCGAGTCTGTTTCCCAGCCGTGCAGACGTGAGCGCCGCGCCCAGCTCCGTCGGCCCCCAGAGCAGGTTCAAGGAAAGAGAGGTGGATCTGCCCCCACGTGCGGGGCAGCCAGAAGCCAAGGGACCTGGGAGCGTCGTGGTTGGAGCAGAGGCCACGAGGGAGGGGTGTCTGAGGACGTAGGCTGAGCCACACGGGAGGAGGCCTGGGCCACAGAGCAGTCTGGGCCACATGGGGTCAGAGCGAATCGCAGCCAAAGGTTCAGAGCCCGAATCCCCACCTGCCGGTCTCCTTGTTCCTTTCAGAGGATTTAAACTCAAGGCCAGGCCTCAGTTAGTAACTCAGTGACCTTGGACAGTCACTCAGGCTTACTGGTGGGGGCCTCTGTTTCCTCATCTATAGGATGGGGTTGGAAATACCTGCCTTGTGGGGCACCTGGGGGGCTCAGTTGGTTAAGCGTCTGACTTTGGCTCAGGTCATGATCTCACGGTTTGTGAGTTCCAGCCCTGCATCGGGCTCTGTGCTGACAGCTGGGAGCCTGGAGCCTGCTTGGGATTCTGTGTCTCCCTCTCTCTCTGCCCCTCCCCCGCTCATGCTCTGTTTCTCTCTGTCTCAATAATAAATAAACATTTAAAAAAGGAAATACCTGCTTTGGACAATGGGGAGGGTTCCGCAAGGTAAAGGATGGCGCATGCTTTGCAAGCCCCCCGCTTTCTGGAGCTGGAACAGGTATTCACCGCACAGGGTCACCGATCTCCCCTTCCTGCCGCAGCCTCACACCTCCCCGCACGGGGAAGGGCTTCCACCCACCTTCTCCTGGGAGCCCCGAATCCGAATCCGCGGGGAGCAGAGAGGATCATCGGTGGTGCCAGTTCACAGGCCCCCAAAGGGGCTGGGGCTGCTCAAGGCCATGTGGCAATTAGGAGGCTGGTCCCCAATCCCCACGCCCAGTCTGGGAGCCCAAGTCTTCTCTTAGGGCCCAGGGCTTGGATCCCTCTCCCTCCCCCCTGCTGCACTGAGGTCTCCAGCCAAGTGGGCAGGGAGCAGAAGTGAGGGGCGGCTGAGTTGGGCCTGGCCCAGACGTCACACACACACACACACACACACACACACACAGGGCCCTTTCTTTTCTTTCCTGAGCTCACGTGGGAGCCACCCGGTTCCCAGGGCAACAGTCAACACAGAAAGCAGCCAGACTCAAGGGCCAGCCAGCCACTCTGAGCTTGGGGACTCGGGGACAGTGACCCCTGCAAGGCTCCCCTGGGGTTCGGAGGGAGGGGGTTCCCAGGAGGGTTCCAAGCTCAGGCAGTAGTCTCTCTCCCTCTCTCTCTCTCAGTCTCTCTTTCTGTCTCTCTATCTCTGTCTTTCTCTCCCTCACTCTCCTCCTCTGTCTCTCTCAGTCTCTCTCTGTCTCTGTCTCTGTCTCTCTCTCACACACGGATCCATGGGGAGCCACCCCCACCCTGGGTTCCAGAGAACCACCTCCACGGGGTACCGGCTGCCCCCCACCAGGCCGTGCGCCTTACTCGCCTCCACTGCCCAGAGTGGCCCCCCGGCGGGCAGGGGTCTGCCTGGCGGTGGCCAAGCCCCCCGGGTCCCGGGAGCTGACGCTGTGCAGCAAGATCAGCTGTGGAGGGAGCTCTTGGAGACCGAGGCGCGGGGCCAGCGGCGCTGGTAAGTGCTTGGCCTGAGCCCCAGCCCCACTCAGGGTGTAGGAAGCTTCTGGAAAAAGAGAGACAGATGAGGAGGAGTAAGGCAGGCAAATGGTGTTGGTGGAGAAGTGCTCAGGGCCAGGGGGCTGAGCACACGCCTTGGCCCGACTTGAGCGAGAGGGAGGGAGGGGTGGGCAGGAGCCAGGTGACCGGCTCGTTCATTCTGGGGTCCCGTCGCCTTTGGAAAAGTCCCTCCAGCCGGAGCTCCGGGGACAGACATGGGGGGGGGGCCCTCTGACCGGACGGTGCCCCTTCGTGCGCTCACTGAGCCCAGACGCTGCAGGGAGGGCCGCCCGTCAGGCTGCGACAGGGACAGCCTGGGCCTGGCTCCCGGGCGTGTCCCCTCTCAGGACAGGGGGACAGGAAGAGGCACAGGGTGACGGTGTCGGGGAGCAAGGGGGGCGCGGTGCTCACCAGGGCCGCGACCCGAGAGTTTGGCGTCTGCGGAAACAGAACAGAACAAGACTGTCCCCATGGCTGAGGCGGTCGGTGAGGGGACGGCGGCCTCCAGACAAGAGGGGACCCGACCCCGCACCGCGAAGGACCACGCTTGGCTCACGTAATGAGGCGCCATCAAGGGCTCCGAGGGAGAGCAGGCCGGGCTGCAGCCGCAGGTCTCGGGGAGGGTCCGGGGGTCTTCCGCTGGAATTCCGGGCACCGATGCCGCCGCCGCTGCTGCACGGAGGCGGGTGCGTCCAGGGAGAGGGGCGGGGGCGCGCTCGCTCCCAGTCTCGTCTTCGCGTCTCTCTGTCTCTCTCCCCTCCTCTGTCTCTCTCTGCCTCACAGTGTGCGTGTACGTGGTGTGTGCGTGGGTGTGAGAGGGTGTGGAGGTGGTGTGTGGAGGCGTTTGTTGGTGTGGCGGGTGTGGTGGAGGTAGGGGTGTGGTGTGTGTGGTGTGTAGAGTGTCAGTGTGGAGGGAGTGTGTGTGTGTGTGTGAGAGTGTGGTGGGGTGTGGGTGAAGGTGTGGTGGAGGTAGGGGTGTGGTGTGTGTGGTGTGTAGAGTGTCGGTGTGGAGGGAGTGTGTGTGTGTGTGTGTGTGTGTGTGAGAGGGTGGTGGGGTGTGGGTGGAGGTGTGGTGGAGGTAGGGGTGTGGTGTGTGTGGTGTGTAGAGTGTCGGTGTGGAGGGAGTGTGTGTGTGTGTGTGTGAGAGTGTGGTGGGGTGTGGGGAGGTGCTGAGGCGCAGGGGACGTCTACAGAGAGGGCTGTCCAGCGCAGCGAGAGCTGCACTGAATAGATGTGGGCGCAGGGGTGAGGCCGGGGCAGGGGCGAGGCAGGGGCAGCGGCGACGTGATGAATGGAGGGGCAGCTCCGGGGTGAGGACGGTCGGGTTGGAAGCCCCGAAACCACGTGCGGGTGCAGCCCCGGGGGGCGGGGGGCGGCGCTGGCCCCACGGGACAAAAAGCAGAGGTGAGGGCAGCGAGCAGGGACGCGGCCGCTAAGCGACTCGGGGTTTCCGTCCCGGTGCGCAGCCCTGAGCGCAGCGGAAACCACGGCGCCGGGCCCTGTGACAGGCCGAGCCCAGTGACACGTGGACCTGATCTCGGGTGGATGAGAAGAAAGCGGCGACCGCTGGCCCTGGAAAGGTGATAGGCTCTCCCTGGAAGGGCATGACGTGTGCCCAGCAATGAGCTCGTAGCACAGAACTGGAAACGTTCACTTGCCGGACAGGAAGTAGCCAGGAGACCGAGGAAAGCTGCCAGGGAACAAAATGGGTCACAAAATCCGAGAGGACGGAGTGCAGCGAAATCCAGAGCCGCTCAGCCCAACAGAGAGGAGTCACGTACGGAATTTCCTGTGTTCTAGCAGCAGCTTTAAAAAAATGTAACAAGAAATTAGGGAAATCCACTTTAATGGTGTATCTTTGTTAGTGTTTTTTATTTATTTTTGAGAGACAGAGAGAATGAGGGAGGGGCAGAGAGAGGTGGGGACTGCAGTAGGCTCTGTGCTGTGGACGCGGGGCTCAAACTTGCCAACTGTGAGATCATGACCTGAGCCGAAGTCGGACGCTCAAACGGCTGAGCCACCCAGGCGCCTCTTAATAACATATCTCACCCAAAATATGTCTTTGGGGCATGCAGTCAATATTTTAAAATATTTTTAAAAGATACGTGACATTCTTCTTTGTGTCGAGTCTGTGACATCGGTCTGCAGTTTGCACTTAGAGCAGACCTCGACTCACACCGGCTCCGTCTCGGGGAAACCAGCCTCCTGGGGTTTTACACACAGAGAAACTCAGGGCCCAAGAACACAGTGACCTTGTCAGGGCCACACGCCAAGCGAAGAGGCCACAGGCAGACCAGGACCGGGATGGGGGCCCCTCATTGTCCCCTCACACTCTGCTGCCACTCGCTAAGTCTTGGCAGGGCTCTGAGGCCAAGGCCTGCGCCTTCTGTTAACTCAAAACCAAAGCTATTGAAATGTGGCTCCCTGGTGACAGGAAAGGGGGTGACAGTGGGTGGGAGGGCCAGGACACTTGGGGAAGAGGGAAGGAGAGGCAGAATGGGGAGAGCGAGGCGTAGAAGGGCAGCAGGGAGGCAGACAGGGAACAGGCCCCCAGGGAAGGCTCAGGTGGGAAGGTTCTGGACGTTTTCGGACAGCTATAGACAAGAGACTCGGGCCAAAGTCTGAGCAGGGATCAATTAGGCAACTTGGAAGAGAACCCAAAAAGAACCTCTAGAAGGAAACACCTGTAACGTGGAAATATGAAACACCACTGGAGTTGACGATTCATAAACTCAGATGCATCACAATCACTCAGAAAGACAAGAGGCGGGAACACATGGAGGAATTGGAACCCTAGAGAACAGAACCAACATAGCCTTCGACAGAGCTCCCCAAGGAGAGACTGGGAGGGATGAAATACTTGAGGAAAAAGTGCCTGAGAACTTTCTAGAACCAAAGAAATGGATGCCTCCACAGACATTGCAGCGGGAGAGAGAACAGGGAAGGAAGGCCCGGGACTCAGAAAGCGAGGATCTCTGGAGTGGAGGTCAGGATGGCAGCCCTGGTGGGAGCAGGGTGACCACGGGCTCTTGGATGGCAGCTTCCAGAAGAACAAATGTGAGAGAGATGCTGATTACCCGCTGCATTTGATTGTGCGGAAAATCACACTGCAGGGGCTTCACGGCTTTGTTGGAGGGTTTGAAATCAGTGATATGAACGGAGAAAGCTAAAAAAAACAAGAGACATAAAATGGGAGGGGCTTCCGGGTGGCTCCGTCGGTTGAGCATCAGACTCTTGATTTTGGCTCAGGTCATGATCCCAGGGCCATGGGATCCAGCCCGTGTCAGGCTCTGTGCGCAGCCCGGATTCTCCCTCTTCCTCTGCCCCTCTCCCACTTGTTCTCTTTCTCTCTCCTTCTCTCAGAAAAAGGAAACAGAGACAAAATGTGATTGTGAACTCTAGGAAAAAAATGTTAACATGTACAAGGAAGGAACTGAGCTCATACGATCCTAGGTAGTTCCTCCGTGAATAGCGTTTACAGAATCCTAAGGATATAAACAATGCTCATCAAATGAGCCGAAATCTATCATAGAATAATTTTGGAAGAAATGAGGGGAGGGAGAGGGGAAGAGAGTTAACTCATAATCTCCCATAATAGAGAGTCCGCAGATATGTTTACAGTTTCAAAAACTCAAGAAATGGCAACCTAGGTTTATTGTTCCGGAATATGGTGGTGACGGGCCCTAAGAAACAGCCAAAGCCGTGGAAACTTGACCCGAGGCTGTGTGTGGGGCTCAGGGGCTGTGAGGATTGGGGCCAAGAAGGCTGTTTTTATTATAAACCTTATGGAATGCTCAACTCCTTAGAAACAATGAAAATATAAATTAAATTTGCAGCACAGGTAACGCCCTTCTTGTGATCTCTGTCCCTGTCTCCTGCCACTTCCCACCTTCCTCTGCTGCGCACGCTAGAAGGCTACAAAAAAATGAGTGAGCCCAGACTGGTTTTTCTGCACAAAACACTCGAGGGCTCCCACGTGGCCCTAAAGATGCAGGAACACCCAGGTGGGGGGGCTGGCACCACTGGGTTTCGCATCACGGGCTACGTCCTCTGGCATCGAATATTCCACCCTACCAGATGTCAGTAATTATGGAAATATTTGTTCATTTTGTAGGACGCGCAGCTGCTGCGTTTTTGGTGTTTGTTCCGCCTGATTACCGTAGCGCCTCCATGATGTAAGAGGCGCGTCAGCGGCCTTGACTCGTTGCCTGACGCAGCGAAAGTCATGTGTAAAAAATGTCACGGGAAGATGTAACACTGCGCACGTGTTTTCCTTTCCAGGGCTCAGAACTGGAGTTTCCTGAAAGACTATGATCCCCTGGTAAGGCCGGTGATGTCCCTGTCGCTCACCCTTGAACCGGGAATGTCCACTCATTCATCTGACATTGCTTGAGGACCTACTGTGTGCTAGAGGCTGGAACATGCAGAGACACAAAAAAGACTTTCTTGTTTCAAGAAACTCAGGGTCGGTGGACAAGAAAATGCTCAGAGCATTTAGGTCTTAGTTCTCCCCAGTGTTTCTTTATTTTATTAAGATGAACCGACTAGAAATGATGAGTATGTGCTTCTGAAATGTTTTCCCCCGTGTGAGGACATCAGCAGTGCAGTGAGGGACGGGTGGGGTGTCCCATATGGAGAATGAGCTTGAGTGAATATTCTTTGTAAACTGATTCCCTGCTTTAATGTCACCACCTCCAAAGTCTCCTAAACCCCAAGACTGACCCTGCTTAAAATCTTCGATAAATCTGCATTCTTCGGGGCGCCTGGGTGGCTCAGTCGGTTAAGCGTCTGACTTCGGTGCAGGTCATGATCTCACGGCTCATGAGTTGGAGCCCCGCATCGGGCTCTGTGCTGACAGCTCAGAGCCTGGAGCCTGTTTTGCATTCTGTGTCTCCCTCTCTCTCTGCCCCTTCCCTGCTCACGCTCTGTCTCTCGCTGTCTCTCAAAAATAAATAAACATTAAATCTGCATTTTCCAGGGTGGCTTACAACGCTTCTCATGATCTAGCCCTGCCTGCCTGCCCACACTGACCTACACACTGTTTGGCGAAGGCCTTTGTGCATGCTGTTCCCCCTGCCTAAAATGCCCTTCCCACCTTGTCAGCATGATGGACTCTTAACTCTTATTCATCCTCAGGGCCTCTCTCTAGTGCCTCCTTCTGTGAAATCTGTCGTTCCTGAGCAGGCTCAGCCAGGTCACTCTGTTCTTGACTCGCCAGCCTGTCCAACCCAGTCCTTTGATAGAGCAATGTCATGTTTCAGTGGTCAGTTTCACCAGGCAGTGGGCTCCCTAAGGAAGGGCCAAAGATGGTTCCATGCCCCGCCCCGCCCACAGCAGGGCCCTGCCCCCCAGCAACCAATAAATAGCACTCAGTTAATGTCGGATGAATGCCCAGCCAGGAGAATGAATCTGGCTGGAAGAATGGCCAGTCTGGAAAATGAGCAGTGTAGCAGCTCAGCCAAGGCAGCGGCCGGGCTGACATGGACCTTGGCGGGTTTAGGGAAGGTTTCACTCTGCATCCCTGGCCTGGGACGGACAGTGTAGCTCGTGAGGCCTGAAATCCTACACTGAGCTCCTGGTCCGGGCTTCCAGCCCACAGAGTCTCCCTGCCAACAGCCAGGTATTAGCCACCTGGTCACCGGAACCCACATCAGCCCACAGGCGGGGCCGCTGGGGCCCGGGGTTCCCAAGTGAAAGCCGGGAGCCTGTTACTTAACTGGCCCTGTAACTTGCACCTGACACAGGGTAGCACGGACTTAACCTTTGTTTCAACAAGGGCTCACCCGCTTATTCTCCGTTTGCGCCTTCACAGAAGCCACCAGAAACACGTGCACAAATGATCAGAGTGGCACTCCTCATAAGCCAAACTGGGAATAAGCCCACGTTTGTGGTATAGAGTGTATCCTGCGCCCGTGGCAGGATGGGGGGATAATGTGGAATGTTCCTCCGAGCCACGCAGTGGGGGGCCGGGTCGCAAGGGCAGTGGAGGTGCTGCAGCGACATGCAAAGCCACGGAGGAGCCCGGAATGCTTTCTGGAGAGAAAGGAGCAATATGGTCTTTTTAAGATAAAAGATAAGATGAATTTCAGAGCCAGGCACAACCAGGAGTTAGGGGGTAGCCCAGGGTGCATAGGGGTGGAGACTGGGTAGGTGTGAGGAAGTGTGTCTGGGTCTTGGGGAGTCTCCTGGTCATTTCTCCAATGAGGGTGCGGCTGTGCCGACCCGACAGGCCCATGTCACGGAGGCCCGTGGAGCTGCACGGGCATGATTTGGGGGCGTTTCTGCGTGTGTGTTAGACTTCGAGGAAATGCTCACCAGCAAACAAGCCATCTGCATGCCCACCGGACGTGAGGCAGTGTCTCAGCTCACGGGGATGGAGAGAGGAATCAGACCCTCTCCCCCCTCTCCATCCCCTCCCCAGTGGCTGGAGGTCAAGCATCAAAGTGAAGGGGTGGGGGGGGGCATCCGAGGTGGGGAGTCCGAGGTGGAGAAGATGCATTTGGCAATAGCTGAATCGTCTCGCGACCCTGCTGGGCTCCCAGGTCAGAAGCGGGCCGGAAGCAGCCCCCTGCCCCCTGCGGCCCCTTCCCTGCTCACGGCCTCTCCCGCTTCCCCTGCGGCCTGTGACAGAAACTCTCCCCTCTCCCCAGGGCAACAAGAAGGAGCCCATGAAGCTGCCGGAGCACGTGCCTTTCTTTTCCGACGGGGTCCCCCGTTCCTCGAGCCACGCTGTGGGCAGCAGGGTGGACACGCCCCTGGGCCGAGCCCTCGTCCGCATGGACTTCGTCTTCGTGGAGGGCGCCCGGAAGAAGAAGCTGGAAGCCGAGTTGCAGCCCATGTAGGGGGCGGAGGGCCAGGGCCGGAGGGCTGTGCCAGCCAGCCTTGACCTCCACGTTCCCCCCGCCCGCCCGGGCCCCGTGCAACCTCTCTGAGCGCTGCACTGGCCCGTCTCCACACATGAGATTAGAAGGACTCCAGGGTCCCGCCCAGGGTCAGCGGTTGGGATTCCTGGGCAAGGCCGGTGATGGGCAGCCCTGAGTCATGGCCACGAGCTGGCTGCCCCGGGTTCAAGTCTTGCTCCTGACTCGGAGCAGCTGTGTCACGTTGAACAGGGCGTTTGAACGCTCTGCGCCTGCATTTCCCCACATGTCACCTGGTGTGCTGTTCCTCTGGCCGCTGTGACAACGGCTGCGCAGCGACTGGCTGAAAACAGCACACGGATATTATCTCACAGCGATGGGGGCCAGACGCCCAAGTGGGTCTCACCGGACTAAAACCATAGGGGTGCGCAGGCCTGCGTTTCTTTCTGGAGGCCAAAGGCATCTGATTCCTCGCCTTCTCCGGCTTCTGCAGAGAGGCCGCCCATGTTCCATGGCATGTTGCTCCCTCATCTGGAAGGCAGAATGGGAGCCTCTTCAAATCTCTCTCTCTGCCTCCCTCCCTCCATCTCTGACGACATCCAGGATAATCCCTCCGACTCACTTAACCATTTAATGTAGTCACGTCTGCAAATTCACATTGCATGTGAGATAACGTATTCACAGGCCCCGGGGATCAGGACACGGATGTCACTGGTGGGCCATGTTTCTGCTACTGCATCGAGAAATAATAAAAGTACTGATTTTATAAGGGCGTGAAGATGAGATGAACGACCGTGTGTAACTGCTCAGAGCAGCCCCTGGACCACGGCATGAGGGTGTGTTTGCAGAGGATGCCCCTCGCTTGGGAGGGAGAGTAGCTTCCGGGCAAAGCACCCAGGGAAGATGTGGGTCCTTACACAGGGGCTGCGGAGAGGTCCACTCCTGGGTCGGTCTGTCCATCTCCTCATTCCTGTGTGATGGTCTGCATGGTCGTGGCTGAGTTGGAGCCACGCCAAGAGGAGCCATCCTGCGGACCCCGAGCTGAGGCACCATCAGCTGCCCCTGGGAGCCTGCGATCCAGACCCACTCCAAGCCCTCTGCGCTCTGGGGACGACACGGAGGGGCCGGGGCCTGGGCTCAGCCACAGCAGGGAAGGGGAGCGGGCGCCTGGGGTCCAGGTGGGGTCTTATGTCCATTTGAGAGACAGGGTGAAGCAAGAGATATTCTGGGAACTCCCAGAAAGTGGGAAGAGTCAAGGTTAAATGCAGATGCGGGGGGAGGAGCCGGGGAGACCGGAGGGGACCGTCCAGAACTTGGAGGGGGGGTAGGAGGTCAGGGACAGGCGTGGGCTCTGCCACCCCCTGGGAGCCCAGCCACTTACAGACAATGCGATGACTGAGCACAGACTCTGGGCTCGGAACATGACCTGATTTGGAGACTAAGCCAAAGGCTCTATTCCGTCTGGCCAGAGGCACCCAGAGAATAAGGAGACTCACGCCTGACTCCCCACACTCTCCTCTCCGGGCCTCAGTCTCCACGGCTATAAAATGGGGGAGGAGAGACTGATTGCCAGGACATCACCAGCGCAGGGCTCTGTCTCCGGGCACGCACGCACGCAGTGGGTACAGCTCCTGCAGGTTTACAGGTGCGCGGTGTGGCTGTGGTCATGCCGAGGGACACACTGCTCTGCCGCCTGCTCACAGGTCCGCGTGATCGTGACTGGCTCCGCCGGACTTGGCTCCACACTTCGGGCTGGGTCCGGGTCTCGCCATATGTCTCTCATTATGTTGGACGAGCGGCTTCCTGGGGCGCGTCCCCCTGGCGTGTACCAGAGCCCAGGAGACGCACCGAACCATTCAGGCTTCTGCACGCACATCCGCTAACGTCTCATCGGCCAAGCTTTGCCCACAGCAGGAGCGTCAGAAAGCAAATGCTGGCTGAGTACTAACCCCAGCTAGGACGCAGGATCTGACCAAGTCCATGGGTGGCTCTGGGCAATATTCTCTATAAATTGCTTAAAACAATACCTTCTGTAGAGCTCGGGGTCTGGAATCAAGCCGCACACGGATGCAGTCCTTGAATTAAACGGGTTCCACGCTCGGCCCCCGCCAGACTTGGACACGCCCTGCCCCCGCCTGTGCCTGGCCGCACCATGGGGCTGTGGACACGGCACCTCTCAGCCTGAGAGACAGAGGCTCCTCTGTGGGGGTTGGGGGCGCAGATCCCCCCAGGGAGTCTTCTTGCCGAAGGGGACACTGAGCCAGGGAGATGGGGACGGAGGGCGCTTCTGCTGCGTGGGAAAGACAGTGCCAGAAAGGGCTGCAAGGCAGGGGGCAGCTGGTAGAGGCGACCGAGCAGAGAGCCCTGGGGGACGGCTTCCTGTGTACCTGCAGCCCGGCTGTGCGAGGCGCCGTCACGGAGACCCCTCCTCACAGCCAGCCAGCTGCACCTCCCCTTCCCTGCCCTGTCCGCCCTCTTGGCGAGAGGATGCCTGCTACCACCTTCCCTCGAACTGGCCGCGTCACCCACTGGGAGCTGAGAAGATCGGGGCCGCGGGGCATCTGCTCGATGTCTCCTTTGGACCTGAATATAAGATGGGGCAGGAGAAGTGAGTACCAAGCCAGCACCAGCCAAGGCACCAGTAAAGCCAAAAGGGGCGTGAGAGACAAGGAGATGAGGCGTGTCACCAGCCACAGCCACGAAGGATACAGCTAATGAGCCGTAGTGAGGCTGAGGTTCTTTGTTGGCTTTTTTTTTTTTTTTTTTTTTTAAGTAGGCTTCGCGCCCAGCGCAGAACCCAGTGCAGGGCTTGACCTCATGATTGTGAGATCCAGACCTGAGCTGGGATCAAGGGTCGGAATCTTAACTGACTGGGCCACCCAGTTGCCCCTCGTTCTTCGTTTTTTATCACTGCTTCTCTGAACACCTCCACATCTCTGCTTACAAGGAAAAAAAAAAAGACCACTTCCAGGAAACTGACGAGGTGAGCCCAGACTTCTTCCTGTTCCAGAAAGTGAGGAAGTGCCCAAAACAGGATGGCGGGGGGGGGGGGCTCAAAGGGATGGATGTAAGAATCAACTCGAAGGGGCTCCCACTGGCCAAATTTGGGACAAGGTGAGCTTCAAAACGATGCCCACACTTCATTGCGCCCCTTACAACTTCTGAGCAAAGCCAGTGCCCACAAATCCCATCAAAGAATAATAACAATAACACTAATAATAATAATAATAATAAAGAAGCCATAAGTTCATATCAATAAGTTTTTTGAATTTTAAGCAGAGGAAGAAAAAGTCTTCTCCACTGAAGAATATAGAATAAATGATAAAAACAGAAAACCTCCATTTTATCACTGGTTTAAGTAAGAATCAGTAAAAGGCACTAAAAGCACTGGGTGAAGACTCATAGGGAGTTGGATGGTGATGTCTGTGAGACGCTTCTTAACCACACTGTTGAACTTATCCTCGCTAATGAGAGTACAGATGGCATGGCAGTGGTGTGTTTCCTGCCTGAGGGGACCCCCTGAGGAGGAGCACCCACCTGGGGAGCACTCCCCCCTCCCTGCCCCGTATAACCTGAGCCACATCATGAAGACACACTGAGCACACCCCAATGGAGGGGCATTCTGCCCAACAGCCCTCCTCGCTTCTTCAAATTGTCAACATCAGGTTGCCCGGGGGGCTCAGTCAGTAGAGCGTCCGACTCCTGAATTTGGCTCAGCTCATGATCCCAGGGTGGTGGGATTGAGCCCCACATAGGGCTCTGCGCTGAGCCTGGAGCCTGCTTAAGATTCTCTCTCTCTCTCTCTCTCTCCTCTCTCTTTCTCCTTTCCCTCTCCACTTTCCCCTGCATGCTCTCTCTCTTGCTAAAAAAAATTTTTTTTTATTTTTTATTTATTTATTTCTAGGAGAGAGAGAGAGAGAGAGAGACAGCATGAGCAGGGGAGGGTCAGAGAGAGAGGGAGACACAGACTCTGAAACAGACTCCAGGCTCTGAGCTGGCAGTCAGCACAGAGCCCGACGCGGGGCTCAAACCCATGAACCGTGAGATCATGACCTAAGCGAAAGTCGGACGCCCAACCGACTAAGCCACCCAGGCGCCCCTAAAAAATGTTTAATAAAAACAATCTTTTTAAAAAAAGTCAAGGTTGAAAAAGACACAGGATGGCTGAGAATGCAATCTGCATGAAACGCAGTACAGAGCACATTCTGGACCAGCTCCCACGACAAAGCGAGAGTATCTCTAAAGGGCACATTGCAGACTAAATGCAGAGGATGGGCACTAAATATTAGGCGATAGCATGGCACCAATGTGAAATGTGCACAGCGTGACAATCACATCAAGGTTATGTAGACGAAAGCCCCCCTGTTCTGACGAGATGCACGGGGGGTCATTGGGGGTGAAGGGTCATGATGTCTAAAACTCGCTTGGAAATGGTTTGACCACAATAAAATGTATGATACGTGGGTAGAAACAAAGCAAGGGTGGGTGCAAATGTGAACGATTGGCAAACTTAAGAACGTATGGATGTGTTCTCGCAAACTTCCTGTCAATTTGAGAATCTTAAAAACAAACAAACAGACAAAAATGGTGATGAGGGAATGGCAGAAGCCAATGGTCCCTGAGGTGAAGTGTCCCCTACTAAAGAGCCAGGATGATGATGGAATCCACCCGCGCTCAACCCCAAATTCCCCAGGAAGATGCTGCGTGCCCAGCTTTGGTGGGGGGGGTCGGGCTGGTGTGACAGGCCATCACCCATCGAACTGCGTAGATGGGGAGGAAGCAGAGGTCTTCCAGATGCAGGCACGTATACCCCACTTGCTGTGCACTTAACCCCTCTCCTGGCAACCCCGCCCCCCACCTTAGGATACAGAGGAGTCCCAAAAGTCAGCCACGCGGACAGGCCAACAGGTTATGGGATGTCCCAGTGGGGACCTGGGGCCCGGGGCTCCCCACCTTCCTGCAGGGCCCATATCTGACCCCAC